AAGTTGGCAAAAAACTGTTGGGGGAAAAAACTGTTCACAAGCATTTTTCACCAGGACAACCAGCCCAAGCCGCAAAGAAGAACAACGGTATGAGGCGCTTGAGGGTAGCTGATTGAACATAGACTGCAACGAGTCGCCAAACTGTTCGCCCAGCTGATCCCAGCTTTTGGAGGAAGCGTTACAAATTCACAAAAAAGTCCTCCAATAGTCCTCAAAGCCTCCCAGAATTCGCTGGCCTTGTTGACAAGCACCATTGCTTCCCTCGGCTTGACCTCTTTATCTGACAGTTCCTCACGTGGCCGTCACAATCTGGTACGTGGGCCCAGCCCCGCGTGTTCTTTCGATCGCAGATTTCAATGGATGTATTTGTATACACTGTGTCTTGTTTACTATGACTGTGCATTATACACCCACAAACAATGCTGGACCTGCACAAGAGTAGTTCATCATCTGACAATGAAGAAGTTCCTCAACAACTTTAACAACGATTTGAAGGGCAAAGTGATGGTTTCTCTGTCTCAGTCAGGTGCCGAACTGGACAATTGATCTGAAAACAAGCTCGGAATAATGAGAACGACTCAGAAGGGGAATCATGGAAACTGGAAGATACTTGGACTGACTACGACAAGGTTATGGGGAGGTTGAGGTTTCATAACATTCACGGAAAGGACACCCAGAGGCGACCAACACCGTACTTGGCGTCAGAGAAGAAGTACGTGGAGTATTCTTTCGAAACGAATGTGAGGTCCGTTGTGATTTCCACCTGTGAGAACTTGAAAGAGAATGGACCCTTTTATAGCGTTCTTTTTGGAGCTGTGGTAGGCCGAAGGATTTTGAAGCGATGTTGATCTCTGGGACTGTGAAATCTCATCACGTCTGCAGATATTGCCACAACACTGACGAAAGTTGGCCTGAGGGGTTGAATCGGCATCACCACTTACGAATGAAACTCATGGAAGGGCCATCCAAGATTCCTACTTCATCTGCCCGTTAGGCGCTCTCTCGCCCAAGACAGGAACCGGAAAAACTGCCAAGATCGCTGCCTCACTGGAGCTGCCACTCGCACTTCCATCGCTCATTGCCTGCACAGCCGCCTTCCAGGGCCTGCCATCGCTGATGCCGTGAGTCTGGGATGGAAATCGAGTCGATCAAGAACGGGTAGGCGGCAGAACGGCCCTAGATTTCCACTGTAGAAAGCACTAGACCGAAATCGGGTTCACACTTCTGCGCTTGCATCCAGGTCGGTCCCCAAGGCCATCAAGTCTCCTTTGCCGACGTTTAAACCTCCAGAAGGCCGAGGATGTTAGCCAGAGCGTGAAACTCCCCTAAGGAAACCTCAAGAAATCCTATACAAGAGGAAAAACATGGTTGAGGTCATTTGACAAACAACCTATGATGCAGAAACTTCGTGGAGGTCTCCAAATCAGTGGCGTCACTTTGCAGCCTGCGCTTCTGAAGACCCACACCGAAGCCCGCGCGCGCCTCGTAAGGTTGGCCTCGGGAGCTGACCGACCTCCTGGCCTTCTGACCGTTAGTGCCGTATATGCCAGGAGCCCCTAGTAGCTTCTTGTTGCTAGTAGTACAGCCAGGAGCCCCTGAGCTAAGAGGGCAAAAACCACGCAAAGAAGCACGTTCAACGTCAGTGGAAGAACCGTTCGAGGCCAGAAACTTAAGAGGTACACTCCGGAATCAGCCTCTTCGGTAAGAACCTGTGATCCCCTGACCGTGGTGGTTTGCATTCGGTAAGCAGCACCCACACGAGCGAGCCGAAATCCGAAAAAGTGCCATGCCACCAGCTTCACGCCTGTAGAGGAATCGCTTGAGGGAGCCTAGGCCAGGACGGGAGGTTGATCCCAGGTGTGGGAATTGTCTGTGCGAAAGCAGTGGTCGCTGTGCGGGTGTTTTTGCTCCTTGAACTACATTAACTACATGCTAAAGGCTCGCACAATTCATGGAACAAAGGAGCTGTTCACCAAAGCACATGATTCTTGAAGCTGATCAAAGGATTCTTGAAACGAGAATCCACGCTTGTCTGAAGACTGAAGAGCCTCCGGTGAAAAAAGAACTTCGGATCTCCAAGGATCCGAAGACAAGTTCTGAAAGCCCCCGGCCCGGACACTTGCCGAGCTACCCTCCCTTCCACTCAGCTTTCAAACGTGTAGACAACGAACGGCCGAGCCCAGCAAAAGTCCAACCTTGGGGCATCCTTAAGGTCGAAAGTCTACAAGGCAATTCAACATATTATTACACCCGTGCTTCGCATGGGCGCTGTTGATCGACGTCCACTTCCTCCTTCCCATCGCCTTGGGCCCTTTGAGGGGTTTGGTCGTCCCGCCTCCTCCTCGACGACTTGAAAGACCAAGACCTTGCCCTCATGCCGTTGAAAGAGGAAATGTGAGCCTCTGCCTTGGCGGAACTGTTCCAACAAGTTGTTTTACAGGTCGACCAGACAGGCGCTCAGGTAATTCCAAGACATGTAGGGGATGGCTGCAAATGAAAACCAACTTGATTCACCTTAGAGAGCATGTTAAGCGTCACATTCCTAAGGAAGCTCTGCTTAGTTCAAGTCCTAAGGCAAACCCACCTCCGGCGCAAGTCACATGCACATGGGTCATCTAGGACAGACCAGATTGATCAACCTTCAAACACATCTGGGCCGCATGGCATCATCCACTACGTGTGAGGAATGCCCGTGCTCGCCAAGGATTGTAAACTTGGCAACAATCGCTGGCAATGAACATACCACGCACAGCTCTGAATGAAGCCAACCACTATCGATGATCATTAGACCCATAGGACCTTCCTAGCGTCGGAGCGGCACTTTAGGGTAGCCTGGCACCAAGCACTTGCGCACCTTGCCGCCCAGGCACTGGCTATTCCCATGTTCATTTTGGATTTGCACAAGCGGTGCACCTAAATATCTGAAGTTTAAATCCTTCTGATTCTCTACCCCATCTGAGCCACAACGTTCAGCAAGGTCCCTGAATCCGTGCGATGTGCTTTGCTATGCAGGATGCAGCCATACATAGGCTAGAATGAAACTTCTGATGACTGGTGGCTAGCCTACATCAACCACCTCGGTCCAAGGCCTGGCACATGGTGAACATCCACGGGTTAGGAAACAGAGGCCTTCACGGCTCTTCCGGTGTCCTAAAAACACCCCCAAAGGCCAAATCGACAAGAAAGATTGGCCTGGAAGCCCCAAATATGAGATTCATGGCAGTCTTGATCCAAAAGACTTCTAGCTACTAAAGCTCTTCGGGTTATGTGGTGGTGCTCACAAAGGCCTCCGTCCAAACGGGGCCCAACAGTTGCTGCGAGGTTGTGACCTCTCTGATTCGACCCACAGCCGCCGATGCCGGTCTATCTCCATCGTGCTTAAGAGATCCACAGAAAATGCTCCGCCTTCCACTTCTGCCTCCAAAATCCCACCAAACTCCACGCCTTCCAATGTCTGAGGCTTTTTTGGAGCCTGCGTGATGCAGTGTGAAGAGCATTCTCCGCTATCTGTGCTACGCATGATCTTCAATACTGCACGTCCATGCAGGGACGAACAGAAGGGAACATGGAAGATCAAGACCTTCGTCAAAAGAAATACAACATAGTTGTTCTCCATTGCTGGGACCTTGCGAACCGACAGTGCAAACCAGTACAAGAGGCATCTTGAAAATACGACATGAACGAAGACCAACTGAGTACGAGAAAAGGCGCGGGTTGAGAGGGATTGGCGTCGCGCCAAAAAGGCACACACATTCACGCGGCTCTTGGAAAAAAGATCTAACAAAGAAACTCATTCAGTATCATTCAGTGTGTTCCATCGACCTTAGAATAAGTACGATCCCGGGCCATCCGCTGCAGAGCCATAGCTGCCGTACTGACCACAACTTCTTCGATTCAAGCTAGGCCAAAAGCGTGAAGCAATCTACATCTGGTGGAAGCTCAGCTTTGGAAGTGCGGAATCACAAACTGGGTCTGTGGTTGGCTGGATAGACCACCGGCTTTCCACTGCCTTCCTTCACAGAAGAGCCTGAAACAACCGACACCAAATCAGATCCTCCAATCATCCGTAAAGCCAAATCCGGTGGCCTCCAAGCTTGGGCTTGGCTCCTCTGGCTGCAAGAAGGTGCTGTTCCTTTTTCCACCACCAAAAGTCTGCCCCGGAGAGAAATATGTTCATGATTCCTGGAGAGCCCAAACTGGACGATTCAGATCTAGCAACTCAAATGTCCTTTTGGGCACGGTCATCCTTTCAGCAAACAGAAACGGTGCTGAGGTGCTGATAGGTAGAGTCAAACAATTGCTCCCTTTGGCCAAAAGTAGTCTGGGCCTAATCCCGTTTCACTCAAATCACACGGAGCCTAAAAGCATCCTGCATTTCAATTTGAAGGATCCAGGATAGCACTGGACACTTGCGGATAGCGATCGGGTCTTTGCGTCTGGACGCACTCGGGGTCTGGAAAGCTGGGTATATCCTCTACTCCGTTCCTTGGCGAAGGTCGATTGAGAAGCAAGACTGTGGATGGAGCCGCGCACGTTTGGCTCTTCTCATACCAGTCAAGCCAGTAAACTGTTTGCCTCTTCAGGATGTTCATGCTTTGCGCGTGGCGAACAGTTTTTGACAAATCGGTTTTGACGAATGTGATCCCGACAGCGACGAAGAAATCTGCACCTCCTCTCCACGTAGCAGGGCAAGCAGCTGTTCGCTGAGGCCTCGGGGGCTGAGGGGGAGTGTGTTCTCAGCTCTTTAGGAATTGGTCACAAATTGGCCTCACCTGAGTTCTGATTGCAAACTGCAAATCTGCATCGAAGAACTAAATGGCTCAACTGCCACGAGGCTACAGTAAGTCTTACTACCAAGTGACAACATTCACACATCCTTTGGAAGCGGAAGATATAAACAACTACAACCAACCCAGGCCTCTTAAAAGTGCATCAAATCTGATCCGGATCAGCTTTGGAGCTGTGATCACTTGGCTCTCGGGCCATTGATACTGCCCAGATCGGCAGCCGTCTTTCCAGCCTCCTCAGACAGTGAACCATCAATGTTCCATGTGGAGCCTGTGAAGTTCGTGGTGTGGGGCCACAAAGACAGTCTGGAGCGCCTTCCTGCCACCCTGCCCTCACCACTTTTCCTCCGCCCACCATCGCCAGTGTCCTGGCGGGTATGCACTGAGAGATGGTAGTCTTTGGGTCACCTCTATCGCGATGACATCTATCCACTAGTCACTAGTTGGCAGGGGTTGGACTTTACATCAGGACATGCACAGATGGGTTCCAGGTCTTTGGGGGCCTCGTTCGTAGGTGCTTCAGTCAGCCACAAACTGACAGGTGTGTGGTACAACCAAGAGTCATCAACCATTTGGTCTGGTGCTTGAGGGACTGAATTCTTTTAGCGCACCTGAGACTGTTTCAATCAATCAAGCGAGCGAAAGCGAGCTAGCAGTCCGCCCTTCCGTCCATCAATCAATTCATCAACCGCGTTTTAGTTTTGATGCTTAAATCCTACAGGAAAACGACTCAGTCCCAAGATTTGAACCCGTTGCAAATGGCAATACTGTAATCCTAGTTGTAAGTGTTGCTTTGGATTGAAGAAATCCTTAAAGGACTATAAACGCCCTGTCCGTCAGCCGACCTGATTCGAAGAAGCTCCTGCTCCACCTGCATGACTCCCCAGTCAACCGCGCGACGACTCGAACAAGTCAAAAAAGGCATCCACGACCTTGTATGTGGTCTCTATCCATGCTCGTATGCTTTTAAGGCCCTAGAAACTTTGATTGTTCAATAGGTGTAGGACAGTCTTGATCCAAAACTGGGTGCCTATCTTCTCTAGGTCTTGAACGGGATTCGACAGTGTTCCTTTTGGTAAATGTGTCAGTGGCAGTTGCCAAAGCTGCTTGATCAGCGTGGTACAATGAATCAGTTTGCTTATGTCGAGCAGAGTATAAACAACCTACCTACAACTTCTGCTAGCAACCACCTGCTGACGTTGCGTCAGCATCTTCCCATCAAGCCTGCTCCAAGATCTGCGTCTCATTTGCTTCGAGGCCCCGTTTTAGGGCCAAGCTGGGCTCATGCAGCAGACGCTGGAGGCTCCTGAGGTCAAGGCTTCCCAAGATGCCCTGAGCTTTTGGTAAAGAATCAAGAAGGGAATGGAAGACATATGTGTGTCCTTTTTAGAGGTATGCCCTCACTCATCGGAAATGGCTCAAGACTCCCGACAAGGATTTCAAAGAAATTGTCCTTTGACTATCCAATGCTTTGCTTGTTGCTGGTTGCAAGCGCTTAGGCCTGAAAGATTCATTGAAGTCATGGCCGTACAATACGGTGCGCTCCCTCTTCAGAGCACAACAGCACCAGACAAAGAGGACTCAAAAGAGTGCTCACTAAGTGTCTTCCTTTTCAGCAAGCCTTGTCAAACAGACATGAAAGTCTTGTTTGTTTGGGGGGGAGGACCCGAAGTTCGCAGACTTTGACCAGGATAACCGCGAACAATGAAATCCTGGAATCATCCGTGACTTGCTCATTCTACCGTGCCCGTTGTCTCACAACGCCTTATGGTTGATGCTATGTGTCCTTCCTCATCGTTTGAGCTGTTAACGAATCGGAACCCAACTACAATCCTGGATGAGAAGAAACAACAAGAAGGAAAAACTTCAACTTCATTCAACTCGATATGCATTATGCAGTATGATGCACTATTCACAATAAGAACACCGAAAACCGACTCCCCCGGATGATCCCACCTCCGCGCGTGGCGCCGCTGCTCTGGCGCGCAGTTGTCCATGGCGCTCTCCAGGAGCCGTGAAGCCGAGGCACGGAGGTGAGCCACACGGGCACCGTGCCTCACAGGGTCGGCTCATGAACGGGTGCAGGATGCCTGGTGGAGGATGGTGCGGCTCATAGGTGGTTCATGAGAGTGCCTTTTGCTGGATCTTTTGGGAGATTGTTCGCAAAGGCCCAAAACAAAACTGGAAATCCCTGCGTGAGCTTCGTAACCTTGGTGAGCTCCGTGCATGTTCTCGTCTCTGAAGGGAAAATCTTGCTATCCAAATCCCCGGATCCCACCATGCTCGGTGATGCGCCTGAAGCCTTCGAGCTTCGCCATGCACTTTGTCACCTTCTCTTCAACGAGCCGCTCTGCTACCGCTGCTGCTTCGCCCCCCCGCGCGACGCCGCGGTCCAAGGCAGCACGGACGGCTTTGCCGGCCTCGTGCGCCGAACGTTTCTCCTATGGGTTTGGCAATTGCCTTGGATCCTGATAGCCAGTTCCAAAATGAGCATGTCTCAAAATGCAGATCCCACAAAACCACGGATTCCGTTCTGTTTCGGTTGTACCATTTGTACCCTTCTCAACTCCATCCGCCTCCAGCGCGATCCGCCACACCAACTGTAGCCGCCGCCCGCATGGCGAGGCTTCGCCCAGCACGTCGGCGTCAGCTGTCACGGCATCTAAGCTGCGCTTCAGCTGCAGCCTGGGCCAAAGAGACTTCGAAGATTGTACTATACAAGAATGAATAAATGAAATGAATAACGCTTATATAGATATATATTTTTTTATATTATTTATATATATATACATTGGTTTTCTCAATGGACATGGTAGTGATGGGTGAGTATCCATCTAGCTTTGGTGAGTGTACCCTTAATCATCTCCAAATACTCTCAAAACACCGCACAAATTTGACCAGCCGACCTCGTTGTCTCAAGATTGGCGCGGAAGACTGTAAACTGGTTCTACAAGGTGGTAGGAAGGTGGGAGGGGGGCGGCAAGCAGCACCTAAAGTCACTCCGTTGACAGTCTGTTTACAGGATTCAGAGTCCAAATGAATCCGGAAAGGCTTAAATTGCTTCATGGTGATGCAGCGATGCCTCTGATTGCTCTTGAGGTTGGCTGTTTGGGTCGATAGTTCCAGTCATGTCCAGATTTGAGACGAAGCCAACGTCGCAAAAAAAGGTTCGCCTATCCTGAAAAATAGATCTTAGACATTCTTAGACTCGAATAAATAATCAAATGTGGAGCAACCCCAGTTCAGCTGAACAGCAAAAGGCACCAGCCCGAGTAGCATGATATGAGCTTCTCGAGCCGAGCAAGGGTTAAAGGCAGACCTGACAAGTTCGCCGGCTTGTGAGTTCCAGTACCAACACTGACTTTTCCCGGAGGAGGAATGGCTGACATGGAAGGGCATGGTGGTTGGTGGCTTTCGTATGACTGACGTGTCAGAAGGTTGAGCACAAACAATGAAACCAGAATGTTTCCAGACAAGGACAACAGTTTCCCTCCTTGGAACCACCAATCCCACCCCGAACCCGGCCTCAGCCTCCCCTCAAGCGCCACCGCCACCTGGCACGCATAGCGTGCCACGCGGCACCCACCGCTACGGAGCTCCAAGGACCGTGAGAGCTGCACGACCTGGCGACAGTCGGGCTCATATGAATCATTGGGACACTGAATCGGAAAGGGCAAATCGTATAGCGCTCTGCAAAAGTAAGCACTCAAAAGTATCAAAATGCAATGAAATCATCAAATCACCAACAGAGACATATGTAACATATACCCCAAAGGTCCCATCTCCGAAACTCGCAGCCTGACCTCTTCCATCTGTGCCTCTGGAGCCTCCCACGCCACCCTCTCCGCCGCATCGAAACCCTGCAGCGCTCGCCACAACCAAAGGGTCACACCGCCGCGCTCTGCGCGCTCGGCCGCCAGCTGGCGGCCCAGGGCCTCAAGTGCCAAGTCGCTGCCAGCGATGCACATCAGTGGTACCTGTTCTAAAGTTGGGCTACTGGAAGAAGTGACAAGTGTTTCTCTCAAGAAATGAAGATGAAGCTCTGAGAAGTCGAGGTCAAAACCAAATCCAACCTCCAGTTCAACATGCATGGAGTAGAAGACTGAAGCATCTAAGCCATGGCCTCCGCCACATGGGTTGAGAGCTGATGGCCATCAATCGGCTGGGCCAAGGCGAAGTACAAGTCGAAACGCTTGCAGTTTCCCAAGATCGCTACCTCTCAAATTCCCGTCCGCTGATCGTCCGGCAAAAGGCTCTTGTTTCTATTAGCTTCTTGTTACTAGTAGTAAGGCACCTGTTACTACTAGTAAGGCATTTGTTTCTACTAGCAAACATTGTTATCTGGAAAATGTTCTCAAGCTCGGTAGTTTACATTTGTCAATGTGCCAATGTGGTGGAATCCGCAAAGGCGTTTTCGTAGGGAATAGGCTTGACGGTCTGTGAGCTTTCGTTGGTCTCTGTTTCCCGCGACCAACCTGCTTCGTCCGTAGAGCACAATCATCTTTCAAGACTGGTTGGAAGCCATCACTACTAGGGTGCAGGCCATCGCTAGTAGGTTGGAGGCCATCGCTATTAGAAACAAGAAAAAGAAAAGGAATAAAAGTCCAATGTAGTTTTCTAGTGCTAGTAGGTTATTGGTCTTGTAGCTCAAAGACTTCGTCTCAGTCGGATCCCGAAACGGCCCGTGCGCGCAGGGACCTTGCGACCCCACCGGGACGCCCTGCGACGCCGAAACGACGCCGAAAGGACGCCCTCCTCGTTCAGCGGCACCGCAGGCGTCGCGGTGCTCAGCAACCACGAGGCCAAGCGCCGCGTGGCGCGCGGCCGTGGGATGAAGAAATCGTGGCCGTCGCCCAGCACCAGCTCCTTCCAGGTCCAGCAGCTCCTGAAACAGTCAGCATTGGGATTTCTTATCTAGGATCTAGAGGTATCAGCTAAAGCCAACTTTGAGGGATTGACTTGGCTTGCAGAAATCACTTATATATAGGTGTCAAAAGTTGTTGGTGCTGGACCAGAAGAGATTGGAGGCGGTGCTCCTGGCGGCACATGCCCAAACGTGGTCCTTGGGCTTTCGCAAGGTCACCTTTTGCGCGACACAAGTGGCATGCACCCGAAATGGAGCAAACCAGAGGGTAGGTCGTCAATCGGCGTTTCACACGGAAATGTCTGGGGAGGCGAGATCATGTGTTTTCCAACAATCGATGCTTCACGTGTATGTATGTGTGTGAAACACAAAGGTTCCGACATACACGTCTGTAAGCGCTCTTTCGCACCCGTCTCACACGAAGGCTCCACGGAACTGCACACTTAAGTGAGGAGTGCAGGGGACTCAGACCTTAGAAACCACTTCTCTCTTTGAACAGCAGTGCTACAAAGTAACACTGGGAAACAGTCGTGGTTAACATACACACGGACTCGCTGGTTAAGCCATCTTTGACGAACTTGACCTGATCACCCAATGTCTTGAGCGAAAAAGGGCTCACAATCTTGAGCCAACATGGCATCAAGATTGGAGTCTAAACCTTAGCCTTTCAGATCTCAATGTGTCCCTACCCAACCAATCACTCACATTGAAAGACAAGTATGTATGTGTGTATATATATATATATATGTGTGTGTGTGCGTGTGCGATTGAAACAAGTGTTCCATATTTCACCGCAGCTGGGTCCTGGTCTATGTAAAGATCCTGTCCCCAGTTGGGGGAACTCTACCTTTCGTCTTGTGTGCCTTGCAACCATGCATATGAACTGCACAAATCAAATAAGCTCTGCCCCTGAAGCACCAACGCGTCATCTCTGAATGTGAGAACGTAAAATAGCCCTGGATCTGTATCTCAAAATGCATGAAACCATATGAAATCGGGTGCAGTTGGGTGGTTCCATCTAGTGCCTGTTCTTAGATGTTTGATAGAAGCTACGAGCTGAATCGTTGACGATAGTCCTCCCAATCAATCACAACACAAAAATGATAAGGCTTAAAGCAGCCTGTGAATCCCATCAGGAAATTAGGACTGTCCTTGCACATGCCCAAAAGACCGAAGTGCGCTATCCCTTTGTTGTTTCCGCGATAATTCATGTCCATGTGGTCAGTAGCCTACAGCCGTGTTGCAGCTCGGTTCATCAAATAGATTTGGGACCTGAAACCAACAGGTGGGAGTCGCCCCCTCTGCCAACTGCCTCGTCAACTCCATGCTATACCCAGTCGCCACATGCATGTCAGCCACTTGCGCAGGCTGCTGACGGCTGCGCCTCAGTCAGGTACAGCTGCGGGAATCACACCAGGGAACTTGTAGGCTGCTCAGGTGCAAAGGCTTTCCTCACACAGGACGCACCCTGTCAGGCAAAAAGACTTTGTGGTTCAGGGACATGATATATACTTAGAAGTGAAACCATACCATCCAGTTGTCCATCATCAACAACCGTCGCATGCAACTAACCCGTTGGCCTTGCGGGCTCCCATCAAGAACAGTATCACCGCAGACTATCTAACAAAACCGGTCCAGTGAAGGAACTGATGACTACCTTTTTTATGTGCCTTTATTATCCGTTATTTGGATCTGGAAAATAAGGCGTGATGGTCGAGCCACTGTGTAAGAGCCAAATGTCGCACTAATCTATCCCAAACTGCTTCTTCCGCAGAAAAGGACCGGCCGACCTCATGTCAAGGGGCACTGATAAACAGGCCCACATTGCTACCCAAAGCCAGCAATGCCTGGACGCTGTCTGCCAAGAAACAGAGTGCCTGCCACCATGAGAAGGCTGAAGGGCTATGTAGCGGCTACATGCTACATAGGGAGACCCAAGCTCTTGGCTGCACTACCCTCAATGATCAGCTCCTACTTAAATCGAACCGCGCTCTTGCTCAAGCTTCCAAGGTGGCCAACTGACATCGAGCAGACTCTCAACTCATGCACTGATCAAGTGTGGGTAGCGACGGATGATGCAGATGAACAAAGGTGGCCAGGCGATTGACACCTGTCGTCATGACAAACGTTACCTTTTGGGTGCGGGGACCATGTTTCTGGATACGACCAGAATCTCTTTCCTCCCTGCGTGCCTGAAGTACGACCGTCGGCTGCTCATACCAGTTGGTGCTCACGATGCTTTTAATACTTAGGAGTATGTGAGGGTTTCGCCTGCCACAATCATTCGGTAAGAATTATGCAGATGATTTTTCCGAAGAAAATCACCGCAGGCCTTCTTCACCCTTCCTATATGGTTCACTCGCGTGGCTTCAGCCATGCCTGACCGGCACAAGTAACATTTCAATCCAAATGGCAAAGTATCTACCCACAAAACAAACTTCGGGCTTCCCTGCTCTTTTGAAGATCTTGAAGCTGGAACCCCGGCGCAAGCTCTTCAAACTATTTGCCTTTGCATCAATACTCTGCTTTGCGAGGCTTGGCTCATGGCTTCGATTGGGGGGCTCGATTGGCTGGAAGCTTTTTAGAGAACTCTTACCTGTGTTTCGGGGCGAAGTCCAAGCAGTCTGGGCTGCTCAACTGAAGAAACCATAAAGGCAGAAATCCGCGGGACTTGGTGTCCTTTCGGATGATATTTAATGAATGCACTAGCTTACGGAGCAACAGACTGAGTCTTTACGGCATCTCAGAAACATGTGGCTGTGAGTTAAAACAACCCCAAACCGTGTGAGGTTGACCTGCCTGGTAGAGGTAGAAGACTCTGTTCATTTTGGTGTTCACCGGTTCAAAAAGCAAACTCTGTCGGCAAGCTGATGCAGTACAAACCATCGTTCGTTACTTACGGCCATCTCTATACTACAGAGTTGAAGTGTTGAATCAAGTGACACCAAAGTTGAATTCTTGAATACAATAGACAATAGCTAGTTGCATGCAGTAATTAATCAAGTTTACTCACATTCTGAGCTGCACCAGTTTTCCTTACTGTGCCGCACCGTTCGTGGGATTGGCGTTCTGAAGTGTTTTTTCAGCCTTGGTGTTGTGAGGTTTTGGTTTGCTGCGTGCCACGGTGTTCAGCCTCCATGTGGCGGGCGCATTTGTTCGCAACTGCCAGGGTACCCAAAGGATGTCTTTAAGGGCTCTCAGGTGGTGCCTTTGGGAGCCGTCAGACGTCGGGGTCAGGTACCCAACAAACAACCAAAGAAATGGAGGGATGGGCTCACGCTCTCTTGAAGAAGTCCACCTCTGGCAGTTGTGTCGATTTGATTGTGTGGAATCAGTCAATTCATGAAGCCCAATTCAAAGTTACAAAAGTGCGGCAATCAAGCCAATACTTTCAGAAGCCATGAAGCCCTATCCTTTAGGTAAAACTAGTCTATACACTCATAATGTTCATTCCATTGGCCTCCTTGCTTGGGCCACGCAATCTGCTATCGGATGAGTGCGAACGTCACATGAGCGCTCACATGCTTTGTGGCGCAAATCCCCGCAGCCTCCGCTTTGGCTCGCTCTCCATGGGCTCATGAACCGGTCGGAACCGGTCGGAAACCGGTCAGTGAGGACCGAAAAAGGAGGACGCCGGAAAGGTGTCGGAAACAGATGGTCGAAGACATGCCGGACATGGGCGGATGGTATGTTGGGAAAGACATTCTATCCTGAAAGCTGGATTAGCTGGGAAAAGGATGTAGGATGTACCTGGATTGTTTCCTACATCTTTTGGAGTTTGGATGTTCATCGGTCCAATGGTATCCTTCCAGGACGGGAAAAAACAATCATGCACTGTAGTGTTCGTGTAAAATCTTCAGCTTCGATGTGGGCCACTGGTTCAAACAAACCTGTTGGAGTCCTAGCATCAGACGCGGTGAATCATGGGTGTTTGACGTTGTTTATTCGGGTGCTTGATCTGAAGGCTGTAGGCAAGAAGTTCAAGGTTGAGGCACCTGGCCAGTCTGCAGGGAAGTGGTTGTGACAAATTGAAAAGCACCTGCTGTTCATATTGGAAAGCCCAAATCCTCCCTCTGACATAGCTAACAGTTAGCTAACATCTGTTGATCTGTGTATTTCTCCAGCCGCTGATCTGCTGCCGGGAGGTTCCCACTATCAACTCCTGAACAATCAGACTAGATCTGGGTCGACCCCCTTGGGATGCTCGACCCTGATGCCAAGAAAAGGACATTCAACCCCTTGTGACCGCGGATTGGATGGGGATAGGCTTGAGTAGATCTCCGTCCTCCTCCCCATCCAACCAATTCTACCTGGAAGTGAGCCATCCCAGGGCCGTCTCCGCTTGGAAACCGGACCGACTGTAGTGTGAGATCTGCTTTGGATTCCACCAGCAGTCTGGACACAGGGTCGTTTCAGCTGCAGCCAGGGGTGCTTTAGAAGAATGTGTTGTCTATTTGTTGAAGGGGGCTGCTTACTGATTTCTCCGACAATGTAGGGATGTTGTCCATACAGCGTGTCTCCTATTTCTTGCAACAAGCACTCTACACAATGTTTTTTGTTGTTTAACCACGTGGAAACATGTTGTACAGCTCAACACAAAATGTGTTGCGGAACCTAACACAAAATGTGTCCTACATATGTGCCAGGTGTTGCCACATAATGCCTCATGTGTTGTTTTCCGGCGTGGAGGCCATGCTGTGTCATTCAACACAGTCAGGTTCAGCCATTGAAAGTAATTCAGGGCTAGCTGCGTTTCTGGAAAACCTTGCTTTCCTCCAAGGAGGCAGAGTGAGTGCCCATGTTTGGTGAACAAACCGGACGAACCTCCTCCTTTTCGCAGAGGAAAATGACTGACAAGCAGTAGAAGTCGTCCCCCTATATATATATATACATAATATATATATATATATTATTGTTTTCAAACTCTCAAATACGTAGGAACCTGTTCTATATCTTGCTATGCTTTTGTTCCTTTCATCCACCAAGATCTGTCAAACGATCTCACGACGATCGGCGACCCCCACAGCGCCACAGTGGTGCCTGAGGACCTCCGAGCGTCTCTGTCTCGCCGCCAAGTGCAGAGCGCTGAAGCCCTGCTTGTCCTGGCGGACCACCGAGAGCACACCTCCAAATTACCAGCGAAGTCTCTCTCTCTCTCTCTCTCTCTCCGTGTGAGTCCTTTCTACTTTGAAAAAAAGAACACACAATAGTTGAGTGACTAAACTAAAGCCCTCTGCGACGAAGGTAACAAAGCTTGGAATCGTTCACATGCAGCTCTTCTCGATTGGCCAATTGTTTCATTCGTGGCGCACTACGACGAATACGCTCTTTCTCGGCAATGAGTGGTTGATCTCAATTGGAGATTTGGATCTCCCAAGTAGGTGGCCTTCATCAAGGTTTGGGAAACTTCATCAGGAGTTGGTCCAGGGATTTGAGAAGCTTAGGTAGTTCGACCTGGTCAATTGGTTATATAGCTACTATTGTTCATAGCGGCTGTCAACGAATTCAAAAAGCAACAAAGAAGCTGTCTTCCCAACAAGCATCAAATGCAATTTCCCAAAACCGGGTTTGCATCCTTCGTGTTGATGGGTTCAAAAAAAGACCAAGCGTTTGCAGAGACACCTGAGCTGAGGTAAGAAGCATGGTAGTGAGAACCAAGCCTTAAGCCCAACTACAAGCAGGCAGTGACCTTTGTTGCAAACCCTTGATTGGACTGTGCGGTGGAAGACCCACATGTGCGGCGGCATTTACTTGGTAATAAACTCAAATACACTATCTATTATGTGGGGGGCCCTATCTCGTTTAGACTACTTAAGTAGGAGGTCATTCATGTCACAGTATCTCGTTCAGACTACGTTAGTAGCAAATCACACTATCTCGTTCAGATTTAGTGTCATCAAACAAAAGTATATCGTTTATGTGGGGGCCCTATCTCGTTCACAAGCGAATACTGATGATAGACAAGCAAATAGAGCATGCCGTAAACTACTTTAGTAAAGCCGTAAAGCCTAAATAAATGTGGTTGCTCACATAGAAATGCTGCGACATGAACTCACAAAAGTTTTCAGCGACAAACCATTGCAACCTCCAAATACGAAGCGCATGCGAACATCGAAACTTTCAAAACAACCGACTCCACAACTCCGCGCATGTTCAACGGAATCGAACCCCGTCGGTCCTGCCGCTGCAGGTCAGCCTTGGCGGCCAGCACTTTCTGCGTGAGGCTCAGGTTCCCCCGGTGAGCCACCTACGCAAAGATCAGGAAGGGTCAATTTGGCAAATGTGGACGCTGCAAGGAAGTCAGAGTTGACTCTTTGGTAAAGCCACTTCGAAGCTTGATCCTTTTTGAAAAGGAGATGAGTCACTTCAAGCAATCTTGGCTGGAAGACGCTCAGCTGCCTCTCCCGATCCATCCGAATCCATCCACCCCTCCTCATGCAGTAAGGTTCGGCCCTCTCCCCAGTGCCTGGGATGGAAGATCCAAGTGCTGAAAAATGAAGCAAACCAACGGTAGACCGTGGTACACCTGCTTTCAAGCCTTTGGAAGATTCCATTTGCCTCGATTGCTGTCAAAATCATAGCTTTGTATCTTAACAAATCTTAGGTGACCTTGACCTTGGTCACGTTGTCTGAAAAGGGAAAAAACACACAATCCTTTGCACCATCCATTGAAGTAGAGAGTCCGCCGGCTCAGAGGGATTGTCCCTTTACACTGCTTGGAAATCAACCATATTGAATGCCAAAGCCACCTGAAACCTTGAGTATTAGGTTGGGCTCCCCAGAATCTTGAGGCTGAAAACGAATATGTGCATCTCCAACTGTTGACAACATGTTGACCGCACGTCCCCCATGGACCCCCAATAAGGACCTGCTCTCGCCCCAAGTCTTCAAAGGCCCACTACTGCACTTAAATTCCTGTCTGCACAAGCCAGATAGGAGTGGTTTCCCAAGTTGTTCTATCCAACACGAGCAAGAGCTGTTTTTTTCAAAACCAAAGGGGCCTGATGCCTGAATCCCACCCGGCTTGGGCATCCTGGCAGGTTTCCCAGGTTGACATCCGCCCTTGCCTGCGGAAAAATGCAGGCCATCAGAGTGGTACGTCGTGAGAGGAGCATGACTCATAACATGACAGTATCTTCAACAAACACTCTCGGGTCTTGCTGCAGGTGTGACATGGAAGTCCCACACCATCGAAGAACCCGAGAAAAAAAGAGGGCACCACCTGAAGAAGTTGCTGGCCAGCGGCCAGACATCTGTCAACTATCCCATCTGTTACGTCGTCACCTATCCCATGCGCAATCCACCATCCCAAGTGAAACCAACTGAGGCCTTCAAGAGCAAGTCAATGGTGTCAAGATGCCTCAAAGCCCGTTGTTTCGTCCCAGCCAGACCACGTTGGTGATTGACATGCAGCTCACGTCAGGCGAGGTCCTAAAGTGACGTGACTCTGTAGATGTTCTCCCTGCATGTTCCTACCAACTTCCCGATATGGTTGACAACCTCAGCATTCTCAAAGGCCTTTGCATTGTCGCAAGAATCTGGCGAGAGGAAGTCTCTCGTTCCTCCGTGAGTTTGATTCATGGCAGACTGCTTGACAAGTGTGTCAAGGTGCTTTTGGTAGAGAACGACCTCCGGCCCTGAAACAGGCATGTCCCGGATGGAAGAAACTTCGGCGCACCCTGAAAGATTCCCATCCTTGTCCGTTTGACCCCTAAGAGTCCCTGGCACAGTTGACAGATTTTCGCCCTGGCGTTGAGCGTGAGTGGAGGTCTTGGGGTGTTCCTTCGGCGGGTCCTACAGTTCCAAAAGGCAGAGAACGAATAAAAGAAGTCCTCAGCGATCATCCAGTCGATATTTCTTTCGAGGCAAGTCAGCTGAGCTTGCCAGCAGAACCCTATCCAAGAAATTCACACCTTGATCCTCTCTGAAAAAAGGATGCTTGGTAGGCATAGCTGGATACCATTACGAGTAAGTAGCGAGCGAAAGATCCTCGCTTGAACAGGAATGAAAATTCAGAGCTCCCCTGCAACCACTAGGGTCACTAGAGCAAAAATAGAGAACTGCTGGCTCAGCTAGAACCTGCACGGCGCTGTCCAGAACATGAATCAAGGTACAAACAAATCTACCTTGTCCCAAAGGCCAAGTAAGTACAATAGTGGTCACTGGTGCAAGTCCTCTACACTTCCACGCCCTGCCTTCAGCATCACACCTTCCTCCTTTCCGTCTATCAGAACAGGCCAGCGCTCCACCCTCGCACGCTGCCATGTCAATGTGAGTTCTGTGTGTAACATCTTCTCTCTCTTAGAAACAATTAGCTACTAGGAACAAGTGCATCGCTTCTAGTAACAAGTGCCTTACTAGTAGTAACAAGAAGCTATTAGAAACAATAAGCTACTAGGAGCATCTTCTCTCTCTCCGGGTCTTCCCCTTTCGTGTCGCATCGCGTCTCCGTCTCTGCTCCCCCGACCGGTACTCGCTGCCCGTGGCCGAAGGCCCGATGATACTGCCATAGCAGCCATTCCACTCAGGCCTGGCGAGGACCGGGTCAGTCCTCGAAATGGGCGTCGGCAATGTACTGTCGGCTCCAAAGGAGAGTCTCATGTTGGTTGGAACAAGGTACGCAAAGATGAAACTCCGACCGGGTTC